GCAAACATTAAGGCTCTTTAGAAAGAGACGATCTGGGAGTTGATCACACAGCTATCTTTTCTTTCTGAGGCCACCATTCTTCAGTTGACTATGATACTTAAAGGGCCAAAGTTTAAAACTACTCTCCCGCAACAGAGCCCGTTTGGGCATGCCACCCTGCTATAATCAATGAGAGTTTTAAAATGCTGCACATTTGTTTTTTCAATAGGTCCCAAACAAAAATGTTCTATCTTGTTTGTGCTGCATGGCTGAATTTAAGCTCTGCATGGGATTTGCAGCTAAGCTAAGTAATGGGAGACGGGGTTTTGTTTTTTTTTTAAACATTGGCTGAAAGATATTCATTCAAATTAACAAAAGATGTATTTTTCTCCCATTTAACAATGCTCTTGATGAAAATGTGTTACTTTTACTTTTCAATTTTGAAACATTATTTTTATTATGCTTACCACTCAACTGTAAACAGCATTAAGCCGTGTGCAGCCACCATTTTAGGTTATGATAATCAGCATATTTTTGAAACAAAGAATTTTTTTTTATTTTTTTTTTTCAATACAGAATTCGATACAAGAGGTAATCTGTTCCTTTGTAGGCTAAAAAAAAATATCTGGTTTATGCTGGTTTGAACCAGTGGAATCTCTTGTGGCTAAGCCTTCTGCTGTGACTAAAATCAAAACTGCTCCGCAGAGAGCGAGGGAGCGAGATGGGGTGGGTGTGCGTGTGTGTGTGTGCGCGTGTGTGTGTGTCTGTGAGGCGTGTCACGTGACATAGAAAACTACGGAATTTTTTTTAAAAAGCTGATAACAGTACCGCCGTCTCTGTCCGCATATAGATAACGAATAAATGCTGAACTCTATTAAACGCCCTTTACACATTATCGTGGGTCGAACACACAATTTTCTGAACTTATGATGACAGTCTATTTATTTTGCTATAAACCCTCGGCATGTAACGAACAGATTTGTGTCTGGTAATGATCTGCTCTGCCAGGGCTATATGAAATGATACCGACCTTCTTTAGATCTTGGGGAATTAAATTGACCAACTTCACCCCCTGGTCTGTAGCTGAAGTTTGACACACTTTATGCACAGCAAGCCCAAATCTAATATTATCAGAACTTTGTAGTCAGAAATTAAGTAGCCACAAAATATTTGTTCACCGCAAATCACCCATACAGTGTATGTGTATACAGACACGCAATTTAACCTAATGTAAATTTATTTAAACTTATTAATGAACATAGTTACGAAAGAGAAAGGAATACTATTATATTTCAAGAAAGCTGGTAATACTACCTGACGCTATTTTGGTCAAGAAGGATTTCTGATTTAACCCAACATATACTTTCTAAAAACATATGAATCCCCACATAAAACAGTTCTATGATTATTAAGTGAAGCCACAACTTTAAGTAGTGTATCATTGCTCTGAAAAGCTCAGAACTTTCAAGGGATTTGATAAATGCTGGTGGCCAGAATGACAAATAAGACTTGAAAGTAACAGAGCCCATTTAAGACCACTCCTGGAAAATAAATAACAACCCAATGCACACAGTAGGATTTTGGGTTTGGGGTTGTGAGGTGGGTTTTTTTGATGCAAGACAGAACATCTCCTGATTCTCAGCCTCTATGTGCCTCATCTGACTACATTCACACAATTCAAATTAAGAAGAAATTAACATATACCAAGCAATGACTTTACTAAGCTCTAAGTGCATTAAGAGCTCTGTATCACTACCTGTCTCACTCAACAAAGATGTATTTATTTCAAAAGAAACTTTGAATAGCAGAATTGTATAATTCTTACAACTTCTACAAGAAGTTTCTATATGCTTTATCTGGCAAAATTAGTTAAATCTTGATATAATCATTATAAGGCATCTGTGTTCTAAGTTGTTGTCATCTACATATGATGACTGCTACTTATGTAAGACATTTTGGAAAAATGAAGATGACGAAATATAAATCATAATTTTCTAATTCTTCAATCTGCTCTTTGTACTTCAATCTTTCTTCTTGGGAGAACAACTGGAAACTCATACCTATGACTGTATTCATTACAGCTTATAACTTGGCTGTGGTTCGCTGTAATTGTACCTTTGAAAATCAACTACAAAAACCAAGCTGAATAAAGAAATTATTTTTCCTGTGCCTCATTTATTTCTAGATATTTGACATGGCCATACTAGACAGTACACATTAAGTTGCTTTTGTCTTCCCACTCCATCAAAAACATTATGTAAATGTTTACCATGATGACAAAGACCATACTTAAAACACGCAGCTCGTATCTCTTGTTTCCCTTGGGTAACACCCCAGTCCAACCAGATATTCAGCATTTCTATTGGCAGATTTTACCAGTATTTGTGGACTGGTACAGGAGCAATTCTGAGCTGGCAACTTTTTTCAACAACTCCTCTGTCAGAAGAGGAATCTCTCCTCTGCTCTCCCCTTTCACCATTTGGTGAATGAATTGGGGAAAACAAAGCCACTGTTTTTCAGTTTAACTAATTTAACCTAATCCAAATTGACTGGGAAGTAAAAGTCCTACAATATTAGGGTGAGATCAGCCTATCTATCTATATTCATTTCCATCAGACAAAATAAAAGCAAGACCTTGAAACATCTTCAAGTATTTTATATGGCTGTAAGTTATACTTGAGCATCCTTTCATCATCTAGTCCAAGTTTTCTATTAATATAATAATGTATAGGAGTGAAACTGTATTAGACTTGGTGTTACTGAGTTAAATATGTCAATATAACATCTTTAAGTACATAATATTGACATATTTATAACATAAATACCCAAACCTTACACTTGATTTGGATAGCTGTACATTCTGATAAGCTCAACATCAGACTGAAGTTTTTGCACTACTTGTACTCATAACTATATGTATATACGTACAAATAAAAATAACAATATTTCATAAGAAAAATAAATTGTGAGATTGATTATCGGAATAACACAATAAATAACATTTTTTACAAACACTGGCGTTCACGTATTTAAAAGGTGACTCCTTTATGGTGATATTTCACAAGATTTTTCAAGGAAGAAAAGAAAGAAATTCCGAACTTTCAAAGGTATAGGGGCAAACATTTCAAGTTGGGTTGCAGAAAAGGATTTTCATTACCTAAAAGACTACACAAACCTCCTTTACCACTCAAAATTTTCTTCCATTTAAGAAGTGGTCATCTGGAAGAAAAAAGTCATGTTGACAAACGGTCGAAGGTATCATTTGGTTCCTTGAGATGAGGCCATGTTTCTTCCATCAAGTTTAGAAAAAAGATCATAACTTGCAAAAAGTGCACATGAACCAGTTATTTAACCATTCCTTAAAAAGTGAAAATAAAATATTTTATCTCATCCCTACACATAAGATATTCTGTTATAAGTAAAGCTTCTTATCACAATTGCCCTTTTATGTCTGAATTCACACAATTTTTTCTTGAAATGTAAAAATAGCAGCACCTTAAAAGAAATAAAATGAGAATGTTAACACTTTCTCAGGACTGAGTTTATGATCATGACATACAGACTGTGCAACTCTTTTCCCTAAAATCATACTTTCCACAAATTCGTTATTTAGGGATAAACCCCCCTCTTTATTCAAATTTTGGCATCTCCCTTTGCTGTAATATATAAATATGAAGATTAATATCTTTTAAATTTAACTCTTCACATAGATATTAGAGCTGCTACACACTACAGTCTTATGTCTACAGATACATTGTATCCTGTGTATAATTTCATTAATGTATGTATTAAAGCCTATTACAGAGTTTAAAACTTACACAGCACATTCAAAATACTGCATAAGGTTAAGGCTTAAGAGGTCTGTGTTTAAAAATTCATTGTACTGGTATAAGTCTCCAAGTCTTTTTTTCTGGCCTTAGTGGAATTGAGCTTATATTGAGAGTAGAAGATACAAAACATTTCAGAACATGGTTCCGATCCATTTCCTTATTTGATATTGCATTTATCAAGTAAACATTTAAACAATTTTCACTTTCATTACCAAAATAATTTAAATTCTATCTGGTCAGAAGAGAAAATCTGGTATTTAAAAAAACTTTCAACTAACTTCTAACTCAAAATGCACAACTTTGATTGCAGCTGACATGATTTTCAAAAAGAAAGGAAACACACTGCTTTCAGACAGAGCTTGTCAAACAAGTTTCAGCACCAAAAGAAATATTAACAGGTGGGTCAAACTCCCCTGAATATAATGGTGCCTTTATAATTTTCAGTAGTCTAGTAGGATCCTCACTGTAGTGTCCAGAACAACAATACGGGTGCAAGATTTCAAAAAAGCCTCAGGATTATCAAGCTTTCCTTCCTTAAAAGAGATGGCTAGCACTCTGCATTCTAGTACAACATGCATTATGAAAGCATGCTTTTATTAGTACAACTTGTGTTTTTGGTACAAGGAGAGAAAATCTGTTTAGGGAAGGAATCATACAAGGAAACTGAGTGGGGTACTGCCTAATTCCGAGAACGCACTTTCATTTGTTTTGCCTGCCAGTGTTGATTTAATTATACTGCATTATTATCAAAGCTGCATTATGTACTTTTTTTATTCCTTTTACATGTGTTTGAGGTGAAGACCTTGGCTTTGTCGGCAAACAGCGCGTTTCAAGTTATTTCTTAAGTACTAAATAATAAAGAAAAGAGAAGAAAAGATTTTTTTTTAAGATAGCAGACAGTGATCACAAGTTAAAGGGTTAAATGTAAGATCTCCAAGAAACATTTTGAAGTTGATTAAGACCCCAGCTTTGCATTAAACAGTATCACTTCCACATGAGTTGTTGCTAATGCTGTTAAGGAGCAGCTTGAGAAGCCCAGTGTGCCAGTGACCTCCTTCACCCTCCAGCCACCCACTAGGGCTTCTTGATTAGCATCCTACCTGGTTCTCTGAGGAATTCCCGTCATCCCCTAGGAGCTCATTCCGCACCTCATCACTGTAGGCGATCCGTGACCTTTTCTGTAAAACAAAAAGAAAAAAGGGTTAGGAAGTAAAGCTCTGAAGCCATTGGTATCAAGGCTGATCATCTTAAACCTCGAGAGCCCCCTAATGGATACCTATTTGATAAAAAAAAAAAAAAAAAAAAAAATCTGCAAGTTAAAGTTATTAAAGTTCTTCAACTGCTGTATTTTGACAAGTCTGCATGGCAAAACCTTAGCATTTCTAAGACAGTCACATCCTCAACGTTTCAGCAATGAAAGCAGCTTCAGTGAAGCTCAAGATACATAATGTGCGATCCCAGTTCTGAAAATCAGGTAACCAGAAAAGGCAGTATACACCAATATCAGAAGCCTTGAAGAAATGCAGGTGTAGGAACCAAATGTATTTTTCTGAAGAACACTTGCTAGCTGGATGCAGAACCCAGGGTAACACTGCAGTGATGCCATTAAATAGGAGAGGAAGACTGAGGTTTTCCCATATAAATTAAAAAAGCAAAACCTGAACAACACATTTTTGAGAAAACTGGTTGAACTTAAAGATGAAGAAAATTAACAAGTGTGTTGTTAATTAAAAATTAATTGTTATGTTGCTAAGGCTATAAAGGCCTAGAGGGAAAGGACCAGAAATCAAAGGGCAAAAGAAAGCAGAGAAAACAGCAGTATGAGGAAACATGGGTTTACAGCAGTTCATGGAAACACCACAAAACTGAGATGGTCACTACAGCTTATGAGCACCAGATTTGCCCATGACCTGATTGCCATATTGATTCTAAACTAGATCAAATGCCAAGCAACAGAAATCAAATGTGTGAAGATTACCAAGGTAGCACAACAGTCAATGGAACAACGGGGAAGCCCATAAAGGAAACATCAGCCCAGCTTTCAATTTCTTTGTTGGCCAAACAACAGGCGCTTAGTCGGTTAATATTCCTACCTTCATCATTAGAAGAAAGAAAGGATTTTTAACATATTGTCTAAAATCTTTTTATATTTGAGTGCAGTTATGATCAGTTGCACACTTCATCAGAGGAAGAAACCCAAGAGTAGCAAGAACTAAGCTGTAAGGCCTTCCTTTATTGACGGGAGCTTCCCTCACACTCTGCTGTGGTAGTCACTACCAGTAGAAACTCAGCAAAACCAAATCTGTCCTCAAACCTTCCCTAATTGGACAATCAGGCCAAAAAACGTGCTTGGGATGGAGGCACAGGAAACAACCCACAAGAAATTATACTGAGCACAGGGAAATTCATTACCTTTGTGACAAAGAAGTTTGGAAGTGGGTCACCTCTTATGCCAGGAACCCAACAGTGGAGTAAGCCTTGTGTTGGTCATCTCAGAGCAAGACATTTTAGCTTTTTATCCTGTCTAGTTCACCCTTTAATATCATCATCATTGTTACAATGCTTACCAATCTGTGATTCAGTTGCTCGTGTTCAGATCTAGATTGTATACGAAAGCTACAGATGTACGTAGCAAGGACAAAGCATACCATGGACCTACTACAAGAGCCGAATTGTGCCAAATCTTTTGGAGATCTCAGCTGTCACAGTTTCATACTAACCAAGCTAAAGTAGTCTACAGCATTAAAGGAAATGAGAACCTTTAAACAGGCTGTGGTATCAGAGCTGCCTGTTTAAATTATTCATTTCATCACTATGGGGGACTAAAACACTCCACAGTATGCAAGAATATCATATGGAGATAGGTTTTGTTTTTCTCTTTTTTCACCAAAAAGCCAACAAATTGACATAGATTGCTCAATTATATTATTTTCCTATTTTTATTTGATACACATCAAACAAGGAAGGAAATTACAAATATATACCAATAAATCTCTAATTTTCTTTTCTGGTTAAGATTCAATCTTCCCATTTGAGCTCTAGTAGTTCAACTGTACAGTCTCTCCCAATTTCACAGAATGAGTCAGCCCCATTGATTCTGTTAGTGTTGAATGTATTTATCACTATTAGACTGAGATGAGGAGCATGATGCTTCATAAGCTTGTTCTCCAGTGAACAAGTTACCTAATTATATGTAGAGACTGAGATGGTCCTTGGTTACACATCATTTATTTGAAAGATTTAACTGGCTGACATTCTCATTCATAAGAGCCTGCACGGAAGAAAGGAAAAAAAATATTCTTCACAGGAACGAAATAAATGTTAATAGCAATTCAATTTTTAGAGGCCCTTAATAATCCTTTATATCATCACCACTGAACTTAATAAATATATTTGTAGCATTGTTCTTTTATTGCAATAATCTCATCATGATCTGAAAATCAGCAATTATATTAAAAGAAATAACCCTCTGACTACAATTAGGTATAACTCTTTGCCATAATCAATAAATAATTTGATACTACTTTTGATCACAGTTTCACTACCAAATGAATCAATAATATAAAAGGAAAGGCCTTTGAACTAAAGTGTTCGTTTGTTCTTTCAGGATTTGTCCAAAATATCAATATCTTGAATTACTATTCTTATTTTTATTAAAGTAATATTGGCTAATACTTTTAAATGTGGCTATCAAAATTAGTTCGGTTCATCCGAACTCAATAATTAAATAATTTTTAGATTTTTTTTTTTAGTTCATAAGTATCATCTGTTTATAAATATGTACTTTAGCCAAATGCAAGAACGATAGTTTGAGCTGGAAATGTCACACACTCTGCTACAGTTTGAAGGAACCCAATTCATAATGCATTTTATAAATAGTTAATGACTTCTATACATAAGCTAACCAGGCAAATCAAGAAATTGTCAACATTTTTAGTCTTAGTTGTCAGTTACCACTGTCTACTGGTACTTTATATGTATGTTTCTAGAAAAGACAGAAGCTTTACAGAGTTTGTAATCCAAGGCATTTCTGGGCAGCTCAGTATAGGTTTAAAAGGTTCTGTGTGCAGTTTTTTGTCTGTAAAGGTCTGTCATATAGAGAAGTTTTCCTTGTATTTTGTATTTTCTTGTATATACGTAGATAAAAAGTCTAAGCACACGGGTGTTTTCAACTCTGTGCACATGTTTGCATTCAAATGTAGCATGCACACGAACACATGACGACACAAAAGGGTTAAGCTACTTTCTACGAGAACTTCAAGACAAAGTTTCAGGGGCTGTTTTAAATGTACTACAGTACCCAGACCTTCTGACAAGGAAGAATTTCTGATTCCAGGCAGATCTCTCTTGGTTTATGAACAGGATTTTTGCATACTGATTGGGTGATTTTCTTAAAGCCCTGTTCAAACAGATACACTTGCTCAGTTCTGTCTGGCAATTTGGCTTTAAACAATCTGTCTACTTGACCCAAGCCTTAACATTTCCCAATAGAACTGAATGTGTTCATGGGCAAGCACAGCTAAATTAGAATTGAAATGAATTAACTCAGCTTAAACTAATTAAGATCTGTGATCTGCAGTACTACCCCCCTGTATGATTCTACATGTGAAGTAGGGTACATGTAACCAGACTGTAAGAATCCTGCTATACTACTAATCTGAGCATAACAATGAAGTTCGTCTATTACTAAAGCATATGAGAAGTTAATTTCCATGGCCTACACATGGCAAAGCAATTGCTTAAATTGCCTCACCTGGGAATTTAATACAATGTTATCATCAGACCAGCCACACTGTAAATAGATTTATAATGCTTTCCATGTGCTAGGCTAGGTTGCATATGAATTAAGTAATGATCTGGTATTACAATACAATCAGCTAGTTCCCACACCTGGCAGACAGGATATTTTGCTAAATTACTACCCATACAGATACATCGCAACATAAAAACAGAAAAGGCAGTGGGAAGAAAAACAATCTACATGGTGTATGACCGATTTTTACATGGTAACCAAATAAGATGTAGATAGAAAGAGGTATCCAAAATAATCTGTTTCCAACATCTGCACAACAGAACGCATACTCATTCATTTCTATTCAATTTTGGCCTAATTTTCCGCATTCTATACTTTAATTACTCATCCACATTCTGAAATGTTCCCATTAGTGAAGGCCAGAACTAGCCAATGCTCCCTCACTCCAACGCACTTTCAGCAATCAGCCAAATAATTGATATAAAGTATTGCACATTTCCATTCCTGAACTAAAGAATAGCTTCCCCCCCCCAAATGCTAAGCAGCCCCCTGAACAGACCAGCAAACCTAAGTGCGTTTCAGACAAAAGGTCCAGCAAATCCTTTCGTCCTAACCTCTCCATTTTTCAGGCTCAATGTTTTAAGAACAGATTAAACAGATTTTTTTGGTGAAATGTGCGTAAGCAAACAGGTTTATTTATCCATAAACATCTGTTTTCATACAAAATTCATTAGAATTTCCTAGCATATATAAATGGTTTAAAAAAATCTTCAGGCATCTGTTTCAGAGTTTGACCCTGCTTTAGATGTAAATAATACCCGAGATTAGCATAACCAGAAATAATTTGTAGGAATAAATTAGATTTTATTTTGTGTTCTTTGAGAGTAGTCAGTTTTGCCATTGCTCTTGCTAAAAGCCAGGTGAAAAAAGTGACTTGATCCTCAAACGGACTGCTAAATACTGCAGAATGTACACTTTCATCTCTGCTTTTCTGAATAGATACTTTGGTATGTTTTGCTGAGGAGAAATGGAAAAGATACAGTTTAACAAATTTAGAAGAAAAATAAGTGATCCTACTTAACAATCTTACAGCTTTTGTTTAAACAGCAACACAACAATACTTCTTCAGGAAACAAAATAACTGGAATTGCTTAAGAAATTGTGTTCAAACTTCATTTTTCAAAACTTCTACCATTTCTCTGTAAAGGTGATCCAGAAACAACAGACTAAACACTTCTGACTGCAATTCGAAAGGGGTTTTCCTGTTCCTAAGTAGCTTAGTTTTTATTGATTGTGTGTAAGAAGCAGGAAAACGATTACATAGGGCTAATATACAACCTGATGCAATGCTGGACTTTCAAGCATTTCCTTATGGGAAAAAAAAAAAAAAACCCACAAAAAAACCCAAACAAAAACAAACCAAAG